TCTCACAGCAGTGTGAATGTCTGTCCTAAAAATCGGGCTGCCCATTCCAGGGTAAATATCTCTGATTTTGGGGGTCCCCGGCTGTCAACGTGGATTCGCCAAAGTGCGTTCGATGGCCGCGAGGGACCGTATCTCTGCTAGGCCCTGGTCTAGACAGTTCAATCATGCGTTTGGCTTGCCAAGAGATGCTGCCTGAGAATTCATTCGCCTCGGGACTTTTGGAGTTGCCAGCGGCGTGTGAGGGAATGCCGGGTTGGATTTCTTGGAAGCAAAGGGGGGGTAATCCAAACTTTCCTTTCGAGAAACCCCCTTTGCACGCCCCTTTGAAAGTGCTCCTGATTCATCTGCCCAATGGTTCCATCTTTTGAAGGGGCTTTGGCCCTCTTTTGTTTGGGCTGTCTTTTGCTGAGGGAATTCCAGAACCCTTGTGTGCATTTCTCAAAATGATGCCTCGGAAAACGGGCCTTCCAAAGCTGTCAGTTTTTCCCTTTTGGGTGAGTTGGCCGGGAAACCAAGCAGGAGCAGCCCAACTTCCTCCCCCCACCCCCCCATTGCCTGGCTTTCTCCATTTTTTTCGACCGCACAATGGGGGTGGTTTCATAGGATCAGAATGAAACCAAGCACTCCGTCACTGAGAGCCCCTTGCGGCAAACCATGTCTTAGATGTGCAACTCTGCAAGTTCACTGGGTCCATGTGTGGGCGCCCCATGTTGGAAGCTCCTCAAAGTAGGCCCCTCTCTCGCTCTCTGTTTGTTGAGGCTAGCTTTTTTGGGGGTTGCATTTGAAAGAACCCCACCCATCTTTGGGATACCCCTATTTTGAAATATGAGCAATTGACAAAAATACTAGACGTCTGCTGTTCGTTTGGGGAGAACATGGACAAATTCTCCAGTACATTCTGAGCCCCACCCAATAGTGTATTTTTCCGTGCAAGCGGAACCCGTTTGGGATTGTCTCAAAGTTGGGGCACGTCCCCAACTGGGTGCTTTCCTTTTGGTTGCCTTTTGGAACCATCCAAGAAAGGTACACTCGAAAATACGAGAGTGTCATTTTTTTGAGGCTATTCAAATTGTTTTGGTTTCAACGGCCATGAAAACGGTTGGGTCCCCAACACGACTGCACCGTCAGACCCACGAAGCGGGACGTCAGGACCACATCGAGGCGCTGCAGCGCGAGCGCGACGACGCGCTGCGCCGCGCCGCGGAGCACGAAGCCGAGGCGCGGCCAACGCCGTCCGGAGGTGAGACGAAGCTTTGGAGCCGAATCGGTGGTTGGATTGGTGGTGGGGACTTGAACCCAGGGGTTCAAGTCTCCAAACCACCAATCCAAAAAACCCAAGGTACCTGGTTTATGGCTATTGGGTAGCAAATCTTTGGAATTTAACCTTTTTGTCTGAAACAGGTCGGATTTTCCGAATTGGAAAGTGGCGTTGCAACTTTCTTCCCCACTGGAGCGTCATCAAGACCATTGTTTTGCCTGGGCGCATTGTGGTGGGTACCATTGAAAGTCTACTTTTTGGGAACTTAGCTACCGGATTTTGCATGTCAGTTCGGTGAGATTTGCACTGAAGGTCCTTTCTTTGGTAAGCTTTTCTTGGGTACTTGTTGCTTTCATGACAGTTGGGAGAGCACTGCAAGTCAATTTTAAAGGTATTTGGCTCTTTTGCATGTCAGTCGGGTGAGAAAATGAATCAGGGCTCCCAAATGAGTGTCTTTGTTGGGGGTGCCTTTGTGGAGTGGCTGGCAAGGAGTTTATTTTTTGGGAAGCAACTTTGCTGTGTGTTGTAGTTTGCTTTGCGGCGGCTTCGGGCCCATGCGCGTCTCAAAATAGACATCGGAGCCTCTTTCTCTTTGGTTTCCTTTTAAAGCAACCCCAAACAAGTACCTTCACAAATTGGTTTTCTTTTTGCAACCCCAAGCAAGTACGTTCAAAAAAAGACGGAGCCCAGACAAGTACCAACTCAAAACAGACAGGCCCAGAGATTCGCGCGCAACGGCTGAACATGCTTGCGCGTGAGGTTTTGCGCCTCACCATGCTGGTGGAGAGGTCAGAGGCGGGCGGGACCATTCAAGCTCTGATAGGCTTGCTGGTGCTCAGTAGGGAATGAGGGAATCAACCGGAGGTCCCCTTACAGGAAACCAGGAGTTAAACGGTTCATAGTTTATAAGGGTCATTCCATTTCTCATTCGCTGCCTATCGCACCAGCATGTAGGTGTCGTTGACCCTGCAAGCCGAGCGCAACTCGTGAGGCTGGGCACTGCGCGCTGCTGGAGGAGAGACAGCAGACGCCTCGGCTTCCCGAGGTTGGCTTGGATCCCTTCATTGGCTTTGTGTCAAAATAGGGGGCCAACAAAGCGGTGGTGTTCCTTCGGTTCTTTAAACCAACCAGAAAAGGTCCGGCAAACACACTCTCGGAGTTTCTGAGGATAACCCTGTTCAGGCGCGAGCCCTTCATTTGTGCGTGTCTTCTTTGAGGGTTCCCCCTTGTCAAGGGCAAACAACAAGGACTAGCATCAGATTTAGAGATATACCCACTTAGAGAAACTGACAAACTATCGGCAGGCTACGCATGGGGGCATCCCGTGGAGGGCATGATTGATGCTTCCGGGAAAAATGGTGTTTCTCCTCGTGCCGGGGATCGGATTTTTTCACGTTGGTATGACATGTTGTAGACGTCTTTGACTCGACCTGAACAGTATCGACCCTACATTGTCGGGGTTGGTCAAAAGGGGTTGGTCAAAAGGGGTTGGTCAAAAGGGGTTGGTCAAAAGGTCCTTTCATGGGCAAAATATGATATTTGCCACTAAATGGGAAAGTTACCCATGGTCATTTGGGGGCCCTCTTCTGGCAGTCGAATCTTGAAGTGTTTTTTCTCGGATCTTTTTCAGGGTTTTGCATCGATGTGGGCCAAGCGGGATCTGAATCTCCAAAGCAACATTTGTGGTTTCTCTTTGGCATCCCTAAGCGCCTCCCAAACAGACTCCGCTTCAAGCCAAGCCTGACATGGCTAAGGTCGAAAAAGAGACACCCATGTCTTGTTGTTTCAGGATAGCGTTTCTGGCTCTTTGTTTCAACGAAGAGCAACAACCACCTTTCCTCTTGAATTTCACGTATCCCACTTGGATCCAAACCCAAAGAGTTTCATTTTCTGGATCACCCCAAGGTTCGCCCAGACCCACGGATCCCCTGTTTCCCTTTTTGGGGGTAGAGTCGACTCCTGGGACCCTCCCCCTCCCCAACCCCCAACCCCGCCCCAAACTGAAGCCGCTGACGAGCGAGGCGCGAGCTCGCGGAGGTGCAGCGGCTGCGGAAGGAGCACCGGGAGGCCCGGGACCAGCTGCAGGTGCTCAAGGCGGAGGCGCGGGCCGGAGCGCGGCGGAGCGAGGGCTGGAGCCTCGAGTGGAAGGACGTGGGAGCTGTGGGGGGGGGGGGTTGGGGGGGTTTTGGGGTTGGGGGGTTGGGGATTTGAGGGTTTTTGGGTGGTATGCGTGGGGAGGTGGGGCTACGGATGAGGGTTTGGAGGGGTTGGAGGGGCTGGTGTTTTAGCCTAAATTGGGGTTTCCTTTGGAGCGTTCCTTTGGGTTTACCTTTGAAGCAACCAAAGACAAACACACACACACACACACACACACACACACACACACACACACACACACAAACACACTCAAATGGCTGTGACGTTCTGATTGGAACCCCTCCAACTTCGGGGAATTGATTCAAGGACTCGATTCGCCAGGGGGTCTCAAAATCCAACCCGGCTTTTGGTCCACAGCTTTTGGTTGCTTTTCCTGGGCCTCAAGGCCGTCGACGGGGCCAGGTGAACCAGACGAGAGCGCACTCAGATGACAAGCGCCAACGCGGGGCTTCCCAGTTGGGCATCTGAAGGGCGGTGCTGCGAATTTGGAGGTAGATTCCACTTTTGGCTGTCACACATCTGATGGGAAACATCAGAATTTCCAAACCAGAAGGAAGCTGAATTCTTGGTGTGACAAACCTAAGCACGGCAACAGGGCTCCTTCAAAGATACATTTTGCCCATTTGAAACATGGCTTTTTCCACCAAAATAAAGGGAAACCACCATTGACAAGGCGATGTTCAGGTGTACAATGTAAGGATCCCTGGTCAAACTCAGAGTTGCCGTACTTATCCCTTTTTGGCGAGTCGCCTTCCAAGGATTTGAGAGGCTAATCACGGAGCAGCGCGAGCAGATCGAGGTCTTGCAGGACACATGCGCAGAAGGGTGCCTTTGCCATCAATACATCCGAACGACGCAACATGGGTGTATCTTCTCTTGAGGCTGCTTTGTTTGGGGTGGTAAAAACAACGGAGTTCAGAGGGAAAACCGAAAAACCGGCCCTCAAACCAGCATTTTGGAGGTCCGACTCCTATTTTAAGCCACACCCAAATGAGAGTGTGGAACTTCTCATACTCCTTGGGAGCCACCTGGAAAACCGGAGCATGTTCATTCTGGGAACCGGTTCCCCAGTTTTTGTTGTTACATGACGCTCCTCAGGTTAGGTGGATTGAAGAGAATCCATGTTTCCACAATTTTGTTTTGCGAAGAGAGGTTCCTCAGTTTGCAAGACGCCATTTGGGTGTTTGGCCAGCTTCCTGTAGAATCTCTTGCTGGTTTCTTGCTTTCGGGTTGGGTTGGTTTTCGTTTGGTTTCCCAAACGGACACAGCCACCATGGGTTCCAACCCATTTTGAGACCGCCCCTCCTTCCTCGTTCGCTTTTCTCCCTGCTAGCATCCGAAGGAAGCCAACGGACACGCGGAGCGGCAACTGCAGGACGTTCCCGGGCCAATGTTTTGTTTCAACCCGTTTTCAGGAGGGTGGCGTCTGTTCGGGTTGGGGGGGAGGTTTTACTGAGGTTTCCCTGTGGATTTTTGGGTTTGGCCTATTTTAGGGCACCCATTTTTGGGTTGTTTGAAAGGAACCACCGGTTTTTGAGGGGGCCACAGTTTGTTTCTTTAGGGTCTCCACTTCACCTATCTTTAGAGACAGACCCATCCGGCAGGACAGAGGCTCGCAGTCTATGGACATTGAGACGTCACTGTTCTCGCGCCTCTATGGGAAAGGGAGCACGGCGGCATGTGCTTGTGTGGCTTTTTTGGTCTTCAAACGAGGGGGCTTCTTCCACGGTGAGTTTGTTCCAAGGCAAACCGAAGGAGCCCCTTTGGTATTGGAGTGCTGATGGAGTCTGGAGTTTGTCCCCCAGCCGAAGGAGCGCCCCCGGTTGTTTTGTTTGGCTTCCTCTTGTGTGACATGCGAGAGACAGTAGCATGCGGCACATGGAGTCTGTGTCGCTCAAGCACCCGCATTAGGTGCTTGCAAGAGCGCACAGCTTTGCTCCAGTTCATGGTGGACTTGCTCTCGGCCCTCACCTTGGTTTTGTCGCTGGGAGCTGGAGCCGCGAGCAGGGCTGACTGTGCTTTTTGCGTGCCAACGACAAAATTGGATAAAATACCAAGGTTTTGCACAAAGTCCACAAGTGTATCATAGAAAGAACATCGTCAGCCCTGCTGGTTCCTTTTTGTGTTCAAAGAACCACCTGTTGGTTTTCCAGGGTCCCCTTAATAGGGGTACACAAATCTGGGCCCCTGTTAAAAGCTAGGAGTCCTCCAAAAAGAGGGCGGGGCGGGCCGCAAGAGTTGCCCCCTGCGGGAGTTTCTCAGAAGTTATGTCGGCTCACAGATTTTGGTTGATATTCAAAGGGACGCCACAGGGAAACACCACCATTTGTGGGGATGTCTAAATTTGACAGAACACAGACCGAGGCCCTGCAGACTTTATTCTACGACCCCACGCCCTTCACCCGGCTGAGCATTCGCTCGCCGTCGCCCTCCCCGGCCAGTGGCTCTTGTCGCCGCCGCCCGCCCTCGCGGGAAGCGTGGCACAGGCCCGAGACGGTCGAGGGGGCCTTTTGGCATGTTGGTTTGAAGGGAGATCACCAGGGAGGCCACCCAAAATGGGGGGGTCCCTCTATGAATTGCACTGGTTCCCAAACGGCCAGTTCCTATGAAAGGCTTTCTACTTCACAGGTGGTTGGGATCATGGATACACCCTCCTGTCCAAGCATTGCAAGCTGGCTGGTTCATGAAAAGGAGGATGGCTGACAACCCTCAGCGCCATTTAGAGTCAGCAAGCCCAAGAGCCTCGGCACAAAGGGCGCTGGAGCTTCGCGTGTTCACGCTGACGTCTCTGTCTCACGCACCAGTTGGAGCGCGAAGCTCCGCAAAAATTGTGGAAGTCACATTGATGCGTCCCATTCACGGCAACCTTTAGTAAAAGGCGAAAGATTGGTGCGCTATGAAGTGAACGCTGTGATAGTTGGGCTGGTGCGGTTCAGGCGTGCTGCTTCAAACAAAGGAGCAAGAGTGCTGCTGTTGGGCAGCAAAATGGGGGTTGTGGAAAAGAAGCACCAGAATTTGAGAAAAGTCTGGTGTTGGCGCTTGGTGGTTGGCAGGGCATAGCGGTGGGAAACTAAAAAAACAGCACTATTTTTAGGCTGTTTTGACCTGAAAGAAAAAGCTTTGCATTCTCATCGCAGGCATGCCGGATGCTTCGCTTGCGGCTCCACCGACTTTGCGCGGCTCAGCGGCGGATTGTGGCAGTGTTTCCTCTTTTTGTTGGGTTCGGAACCCAAAGTTGCATTTTGTGGGGTTCACAAAATTGCTTTTGAGAGGGGGCCCAAGCCACCATCTGGAGGATGTCGCCTTGATGTCGCCTTCCCAGAAAAAACAAACCAATGCTCAATGCCGCAGATTCGCGCCACCTTTTTGGGGCATTTGCTTGGAGAATGGGCCGAGGCCGCCGATGGACAAGGGCCTCAAAGAGGCGCAGGCAATGAGAGGGAGACCGAGTCATTTGGGTTTGTCTCAAAGGGAAATGAAAGGGATTCGGTTTTCCTTTTGGTTCCCCTCTAAACCAACCCCAAGAAGGGTACCCCCAAGAAAGACAAGCCCATGCTCTTTCCACAATCATGGCGCAGCTGAGAGGAGGGTTTGGAAGACAGTCTTGCGAAGGCCCGCGTGTCCACTTCCATTGCTCAGCGCTAAGGTCCCAGCGATTCTGATTTCCCATTCAAGCCGAACGGGGATCCAGTACAATGACTCGTTTTGGGACCATAAGTGACAGGTGGCTGGGGCCAGTTTTGGCGAATGACCGCCTTCTGAACGGGACAGCGCGCGCGCGGGGGCCTCACCCGCCAGGTGGCCTGCAGCGAGGACTTGAAGGAGCTGTGCAACGCCTTGGAGGGCGAGATCGCCCAGGCGCGCGGGTTTCGGAGCTCGGCGCGCAAGGCAAGGCAAAGGTTGGTGTCAAGCCAACAGGGGAATGTTTTTTTGGCGGCTTAGAAGCCAGAGCTGCGCGGATTGAACACTACTTCAACAACCTCCTTTCAATTTGTCTTGGCAACAGAACAAGGATGGGCAATGTGCGCTCGGGCTGGAGGTTTTTTGCTAGCGTCTCACGTGAAGCTCGGAACGACACACGCAAATATTGCCCGCTTCTCTGTAGGCCGCAGGGGTCACACTAAAATCCCTTTCCGCCAAGCAAGCAACGGCTTAGAATTGTTTCCGGTGTGATCTGGGCGATTCTTTCAAGGGCTACTCGTTTGGTTTCGTTTCGAAGGGGGATGAAGGGTTTCTCGTGTCTTCGCCCCTTCGCTTCTGACTCCCCAAACTACTCCCCACAACTCATCCTGGCTTCCTTGCTTGCAAAACAGCGCTCATGTTCGGATGCGGTTGGAGCTTGCCTACGCATCCACGGGCCAACAAAATAATAGGGCGGACCTCGAGCCTAGCATCAGCTGCAGGAAAGTTGGATGAGGTGACCACCTCTGGCGTGCCCCAAGGCTGCCCAACTTAGGGCACCAGATCGAAGCGCTCAGGGCAACTGCTGAGATCCAATGTCCGTTGAGCCGGGAAAAGCAACATTATCCATGCTTAGGGAACCCAAAAGAACAAACGCCATGCACGGCGCCGTTGGGCGCGGTGCTGGTGCCGGTGCGCCGCTGGTGCTGGGTGGTGCCGGTGCCGGTGCCGGCACTTGGCGCCGGACGAAAAGACACCATTGTGAGCCAACAGTCGATGGTAAAGCCCAAGAAACGAAAACACAAGCCAACTCTACCAAGGGGCGCTCAATGGTAAGCCAACTCTAGCAGGGAGCACCAGCGCCTCTCTCATTCGTGACCGCTCCATTTGCGCCAGGCTTCCCAAGCCTTTTCGGCGCAGGCGCCCGCACGCAGAAACGAGTCAGGGTTCGAGAAAATCCACGGCCCAATGGCTAGGAATCCTGGGTGCCCCCAAATCAAGATGCTGTGGGGGCACAAGGGAAATGATGTATGGATTGGGGGGGGGGGGGCATTTTTGCCAGTTGGGGTTGTTTAGCAATTCGCGGCGAGGTTCAGCGAGTTCTGGCTGAGGCGGAGCAGGCGGGGAGACTTCTTGTGACTGAACCGTGCCAGGGGCACACCTTGTGAAAGTCGTTGTTTGGGTGTCAAAATTATGTAGCTGGGGCAACCAGGGTTTCAGTCATTTCCATATACCGTATCCAGTGCCATTTTGGGCTATGCCAGTTTTTGAGCCACACCTGTATTTCCATATTATGTCCATATACCGTTTTCTGCAACTTGGGGAATCCATATTCTTTCCAGTACCGTTTGGTGCCATTTGGGGGGTTCCAGTTTTTCGAGACCATTTGGTTTTCCTCGTCATTTCATCGGGGCCGACCGCCGCGTTCCGCGCCTCGGAAGCGGCGCATCCGCCCAGAGCGCCCGAGCCGTGAGCGCGGCGCAGCCTGGGCAGCTGCTGCGCGCCTGCGCTGCCTGGGTGGAGCAGGACAGGGTGGGGGGGGGCGACTGCGGCGCTCTCGGGGGGTTTGGGGCTCGTCAAGGGTGTATGTGGTTGTGTGTGGTTGTAATATGGTTATGTGGTTGTGTGGTTATATTGTTTTGCGATTGTATGTGGTTTTGCGATTGTATGTGGTTATATGGTGATGTTCTATGGTTGTGGTTATGTGGTTACGTGGTGATGTGGTTATACGGCTATATTATATGTTGAATTGCAAAGCATATGCATGCTGGCTGACACGCAAGCAAACGCTTGGCTCCACGCAGAGCGGTGTAGCAGGGAGAGCCTGCATGGCTATGTATGGTTATGTGGTTTTTGTGCTTTTTCTATCCACTGCCTAAGCTTGTTTTTCTAGAGCTTGTACTATCTTTTTTGCGGGGGGGGGGGGGGGGCGGGATGGTTTAAATTGGAGGCCAAAGAGAAGTCAAGCATTTTTTGGCTCGCTATTGTGAGACATACCAGTTTGGGCCAGTTCGCAAAAGCAAACCTTGACCAGCTGATTTGGAGGATCCGAATCTTTGTACATCAGGCGGTTGTTGATATATCCTTTCAGGAACCCTGTCCAACTTAATTGGACACCATTTTTAGGGTTCTCCAAATTTCGCAAGGAAACCAACCAACGGTTTCTCGTCACACCACCGTTTTGAGGGTGTTCTGAGAATTACGTTTGGGGAAGCCCTTCAACCACCATTTCGAGACTTATTTTGAGGTCACTTTTGGCTAGGAAGGTGGACTGACAAACCTCTTGTACTCGACTAAAAGGGGCTCCCGCTCCCAAAACCTTCTGTGAGTCTTGCGTTTTTGTGGGAGCACATGAGCTACAGTCAGCATTCCGATATACACCATATATTGTAGGCACATCACATATCCATGTATATGTGTGTGTATATATATAGATATATAGAATCTCATCTTAGTCCCCAGTGACACTCGATTTGGTGAGTCACCTCCATTCCCAAGCAGTAATTTGGTGAGTGTATCCAATGTCATTCCCTTGAGTAGAGTAGATGTCGGCAATTATTCACCGAAGATCCCTGCAGGGTTGGTCGAAAGGAAGGAATACCACGTTGCCGCTTGCCAAGGCCGAACGAACGCCCCTTCAGCCGAATGACTTGTCTGCCTCTTCTCATGCCACACTCGGTTCGCCTCTTAAAAGCAACCGTTTTTTAAATTTGAAATATCAGAGCCGTGTCCCAAGCACCTCAGGTTTGAAACACCCGAACACTGAGGAGAAGCGGCGGAAGGAGAGGCAAGGCCTGCCGGTTGATCGTCCAGTACCAGCTGTGGACTGGGGCGAGGCAGGGGCTCGAGTTGCTCGACCGCCGCCGAAGCTACTTTCGGATATTTAATGGGATCTTCAGCCACCAAAAATCCACCACGTAACGGGTCTTTCTCCCAATTTACCTGCAGTGGTTTGGGGGTAGTGGAACCCATCGTAGACCAAAGGCCCTTGGACGTCCTTTGCTTCCTGCTTCGGGTTGTTAAGGGACGTTCTTTAGGCCTTTCGGGGGCGATATGTTACATTTTGAGGCAACCCCTCATCTCAACCTGGGCAGGGGGCTTCCGCGGGCCTGCAGAGTTGGCCCCCTTTGAATATGTTTTTCAAAACCGTTGTTATTTGACAATCCGAGTCTCCCCAGCCCACCTACTTAGCTGCCTGAGGCCCAAAAGGCCCCAAAACGGCCCCAAAAAGGGCCCCGAACAGCTGCCTCTTCGCCATGCCCGTGCCGTCTTCCGCGAGGAGCGCGCGCAGTACTTGGCCACCACCAGAGCCATGGAGAGCAAGTTCGCGCAGCTGCTCAAGCTCCGGCGCCTCCATCAGGCCCGGCCCGGGGTGCGCGCGCGGGAGAGAGGCGCGCGTCACCCGCAAGCGCAAGGGAGCGAGTGAGGGGCGCGGGGAGGTGGGGGGAAAGGCACCTGTTTTCCCACAGACCAACCTCCTGCCGCGCTGGGATTCTTTGATTTCGCAGCGACTGTACCAAATCCCTGACCTGCTTTTAAAGCCCCTGCTTACCCCAACGCAACAGGCTTGGGATGAGTCAGAGAAGAGCTCCCGCGTGGAGAGATGGGCCCTGCGCGGCATAATCCTTAGATGGTGGTTGGGATGGGAGTTTGGAGGGTAAATGCACCAATTCAAACCACCTCCAAACCTCCAAACCTCCAAACCTCCAAACCTCCCTGGTCACGGCACGGATGTTTCTCGACCAGGTCAGGCACAGCGCAGCGCGGAAGAAGGCGCCGGCCGGAAGGTACTGAGGACAGATTGTGGGCTCATGAATTGTCGCTACTGTCGGAGAGTCACCCCCGAAGTGGTAGGTTAAAGGGAGCAACTCCGATGTGTGACTTTGATAACCCCTAGAAACTAGCAACATGATGGACTCCAGTAGATTCTCGGGCTATTCCTGGATAGATCGATCGTTTTTGAGTCTATTACACGTTTTCGTAATGCGCCACAATGATGCAGCGTGGAGTCCGCCACATCATTTAGGACCGCTGCATCACAGGAGACGATATTCCCTCCTCGCATGTGTACAGCGTGGCACAATGCTTATTCACCTCAGGTGCTGCAGCACTAGGATTGTTTCACTGATTGTTTCCCAGCTTGCTCTCAGGCGGATGAACAGGAGCAACCTTCGTAAATTAGATTGCTGTTCTTTACGGTGCATGCGGCTGGACAGGAAGCATTTGCATCAACTGCTTTCAGCCTGCCTTTACTAATTCATTTAATGGAAGTCGAAAAGCAGTTCCTTCAGGGAATTGTGAAAAGGTTCGTTGGCTGCGCACGAATGAGTAGGACCAGATGAAATGTGCTTCCGTGCTTGGAGTGCAACTAGACTAGGAGATGAACCTTCAAGGACAAAGCTTCATTTGTGTAGGCCATGTGAGTGAGACGAACTACACGGTTGACGCGTGGTTCCATTGAATGGACACATGCTGATTGCCTCAAGGGAGAGTTTGCTGGTTGTATTTGGTCGGGTCTGCTCCAATCGGGACCTTGGTTTGCCCCAGTCAAAGCCAGTCTTGGCATTGTCGATTTTGAGATCAGAGCCTTGTTGTTGGATTTTGTTCTTGTTTGAAGTTACCCTTTCCGAGGTGGTTGCAACGGGAAATGAAAGGGACAACCACCATTTTGGGGGTGTCCCTATTTTGACGCATACCCAGTACGGCAACAGAAACCCTGGAATGATTCGATTCCTTTGTAAATGCCAACGGACAATGGTTTCAACCATGGTTTCAAAGTAGTGCGAAGGGATTCGATTCCGTCCATCCACGGTATGTTGCCATGCCTACGATGTCCTTCTGGCCCCGTACCGCGAGTCTCTCTCGGCCCAGTGCTTTGGGCCAAGCGCTTTGGGCCAGCGATGGAGAACGGCGACCTCAATGCATCCCTCACCGAAGGTGCGGAGATCACCCCCTTCGAGGAGGCCTTGTCGCCACTGGGTTCTGCTGGTGGACGAACGTTTTTCTTTCTTCTTTGTGTGCGTGTGTTCTTCTAAGGGGACTCCCAAAATGGCTTCGGTTGTCCTTCTGGGTTCCCTTCAAGACCACAAAAAGAAGCTCTACAAAGACCCACCCAAATAGAGAGCGTACGCTCCCTCTTAGTAAGATGGCTCCGGGGCTCCCGGAATTTGGACGATGGAGGATCAGTTTCCTCTTGGGTCAGGTGTCATGTGGCAGAGGCAGTAAAACAACCCTGGCTAGAAAGAGTAAAAACAAACCGACCAAAAGGCCCCCAAGAGGACAGTTGGGATATGTTTTTTTGGGTAATGCAAGAGGCTGAATAGTTTTGTGGTACCCCACACCCTCATTCCAATTATTTTGCCTCCTCTACACCGATCCCTTCTGGCTTTTTTGTTGGGAGGAGGCGCCAGCTGAGCGGCGCCGGCGGGTCCCTTGGCGCGTTCTGGCGCTGAGTTTGGTGATCGCCGGCTCCCTCGGCGTGGCAAGCCACTTGCTCCTCGGTTTGTTTCGATGCACGCCGTCCGTTCGGTTTCAAGCCTTTGGTCTGGGCATGAGGCAGTCTTCGGTTTTTTGTTTTCTGCAGCTTGTTGGGCTTGGAACATGGGTCAAGGGGGATCCCTTTCATTTTTCGGGCACTTTGGATCGTTAGGATCAGTGCCGGGAACGACACGGAGAGAGCTGAGCCAGCTGAAAGCTTGTCGGCAGACGTCTCCGGCACCAGGCCGCTGGGCGTGTTTTTTCTTTTCGGAGCCTGTTGAGAACCCCTTAAACCGAGCATGTGAGCATGTGAAGGAGCCCCTCCTGAAGGACCAACATGATTCAAAGGAGGACCCTCTTGCATTGAAGGGCAAGCCTGGAAGGACCCCTCTTGCAGCACTGTGACCTTCGTTTTCTGCCTGGGTGAAAATTCTTCATCACGGCCTTTCGCTCCGTTTTTAGCCCGGGCGCAGGTTAGAGCCCGACAATCGAGTGAACGCACAGCCGGCGGCGAGAGCGGATGTTGGCAGGAGGGCTTTGAGGCTGCCATGGATTTGCACATTCGTTTCAGAAATAGGACATGGACCAAATGGGTGTGTCTTTTTTAGTGACCCCCCAAACAAGAAAAGCAGGCGTTCCTTCTGGTTTTCCAGCAAAAGCCACACAAAAAAGGTCAACCTCAAACAAAGACACACCCAAAGGGTGGTCCTTTTCAATCCAACCAAAACGGGAGTCGCCTCAAAATTGGAACTTTCAAACAGTGGGGTTCTCTTCCAAACCCACGTGGGGTTCAGCTTTCCCCATATGGGGTCGTCTTCTTTTGAGGCTCTTTTTGCAGGGTCTTTTACAGGCAAACCACAAGGACACCAATGATTTGTTGGGTCCCCTCTTTTAGGCCACATGCACATGGGTTCGATTCAAAGTTATGGTTACATGGACCCCCAAATGGCTTTTGGTTTCCTTTTGGTTCCCTTTCAAACCGCCCAAAAGCGGGGGGCAATCCGGGTCCGTGTTCATCCGATTTGGGGTGACGGTCACGGGGGGCCCCCGGTAGCCAAGCTGAGCCACAGTTCGATGCGGCTAGCGATCTGCGGTTCATGGGTCCACTTGGGATCCCAAACTGGGGGGCCCGGACCCAGAAATGGAACGATGTCCTGTTGGTTCCCGAAAAGAAAAAACACCTAGGGGACCGCTTTTTTTCTATGCCCGATGTTTAGCAAACAAGAATATATATTCTCCTGTCCCAGAAACACAGGAAAAACTGGAGGTCCCTCATTTTATGCGATACATGAGTTTCCCCCCATGTCCCCAAAGTTTCTGTTTGATGACTATCTGTTTGTGGTGGTAAGAAGAAGCAACCCTTGGTCCATTGCATCTGCGATGATGGTAGAGGCGGGCGCCCCAATAGACTCTACCCGTCCAAGTGGCACTGATCCAAGGAGCGGGCAAAGTGGGTGATCAATTTTTCGGTGGCACCCCTTTTTGGGCGGGTTTCAATGAAAGCCAAAAGGAAAACCACCATTCTGGGTGTTCACTAAGCAGGCAAAGCCAAGTGAAGAGACTCCAGGACCGACCCAGAGCGGCTGAGCTGCGGCAGCGACGCGTCCTCGGCCTCCGGCAAAGCCGCGCAGGTGTTTCGTAGCTCCCGGGCCTGGACGCAGGCAAAGTCTGAGGCGGGGATGAACGGCGGCAAAGCGGGGCATGTTGTTTTTTTTGGTGTTTGTGTTCACGAAAGCTAGCCTTAGCTAGGCTGCAGCTTCTGTTTGCGCAAGCGACTTCTTGGTTCTGTCAATTGGGCTGAAATGATTGATACAATCAATTTGGCCCCCCCACCCCACCAAAAAGCCGCCCGGGTCGTAGGCTCGATTTCCCTGCACAGACTTCCATGCAGCTGGCAGGAAGGATCTGACAGTTCGTTGTTCCCAAAACGCAAGAAGCAGATTTATCAACGGCCTGCTGTTGGAGTACTCATATGCAAGTGTATGGGGTGAAATTTGAACTTCTTGCTTTTTTCTGAATTGTGGGCGGAACCACTTCGTAGAATCACCAGCTCTCTGCCCCAAACGCGCCTTCTCAAGTTCACGGGAAACAGAGGCAAACCCACCTTTGGACCTGCCTGTCTCGATGTCCAGCCGTACTCCCGGGGTTTCGGAAATCAGTTCCCGAAGAATAGAGACTCCCTGTTTGACGGCAAAAGAGAAGCGGAATCCGAACAGACTTCTTGTTTCTGACTGCAAAGGCTTAAGCCCATTGCTGAACCACGCCCCCCCACGCAAAAGCATTCCCGCAGACTGGGGTCTTTTCTTCTTTCTTTCTTTTTTTTTGGGGGGGGGTTATCAAGTCAGCAACTGGGGGTGTTTCCCAACTAACCAGTCACTTGGTGTGTGTGTGTGTGTGTGTGTGACTTTTGACAAAGGTGAAATAGGTGTGTCCTTTTTAACCATCCTATTTCAACACAAGCCCACACAGGTGTCCATGTTTGGACTAGCAAGGACTTGAACCCAGGAGTTCTTGAAACACTGGGTTTCAGTCCACCTTGCGCTACTCCAACAATGCAACCCTGTTATTCCTGGTATGTTTTCAGGGGGCTAGCAATAAAGCATGCTGGTCCGATAGGGCCCGCCCCGTCTCTTAGGGAGGTTTGCTAAGCGTTCCTTTTGTGGCTGATTCCAGAATTTGAGAAGCTCCTGTCTAGGTAAGTTTTGGGTGTTGAAACATGTGTTGGCATGGGCTCAAACCTGTTAGTGGTATCGGCCTGTGATGGCAGCAGTCGGTATGTGTTGGTCTGGCTTGTAGAAAGGGGTTGGTGGAAACAACCCCGCCATGTATGTTTGATGTCCACCCAAGAGTCTCCAAGTTAAATGAAGTCCCATGATTTGTCTGAGTGTTGCAGGTGTTGGTAGTATCGGCACGTACTGGAATCCTATGTTGGTAGTGTTGGTATATGTTGTGTTGGGAGTGGTGGTAGTAGTGCATCATTGTTTGAAATATTATGCATATGCAAACCCTTTGTTCCATTTCCAGTTGCCTCAACGAACATTTAAGCTATGCCATCCCTCTCCTTCAAATCCCGCAACAAGAGACAGGAGGCACTACAGCAGGTGAGCCACAATCAAGACTTGGGTAGTTGCACGTCAGGGGGCTGTCCTAGCAGGACATTGGTTCGGCTGCTTGATTTTTTGAGTGAGTTTCGGTCGACAATGATTCAGGATGTACATGTTTGATTAGCTAGCTTTTGTTCATGCCAATGATATATGTATACATAGCATATATGCATATTCACACACGCAATCGCATGTAGTGACTCAGGTGGTGCGTGTCAAGCTGTGGGGCGGCGGCGGCATGGGCGGCGCCCCGGTGCGGATGGTCCCCAAAGAAAACGGCTGCAGCAGCTCCGCACTTCGCCGCCTCAGAGGCCGCGGCGGCCGCGGCCGCGGCTACACGGGGCTAGGCACCCGTGCAGATTTGAGGCTTGGCGCAGTCGAACCCCACGGAAGGAGGGCAAGCTGTTGCCACCACCTTCGTTCACAATTGGAGTTTGCCCGACTAGTGGTAGATCCTACTTGTGAGACTTGCCAACTTGGGTTATCCAAGTATGGAAGGGGGGGGTCACGTGGGCGGGTAATTTGGAGAGACGTCCATGTGCGACTCAGTGGGACTGTTTAGTGATCCTGTGATGGTTTCACCATCAAAACTGAGCCCATGTTGGTTTGCTTCTTTGTCCGTCTGTCTGTCTGTTTGTTTGTCTGCCTGTCTGCCATTTTGTTTCGTTTGTTTATCTGGCCAGTTGTGTAGCTTGGCTTGGCTTGGCTTGGCTTGGCTTGGCTTGGCTTGGCTTGGCTTGGCTTGGCTTGGCTTGGCTTGGCTTGGCTTGGCTTGGCTTGGCTTGGCTTGGCTTGCTTGTTTGCTTGTTTGCTTGTTTGTTTGTTTGTTTGTTTGTTTGTTTGTTTGCTGCTTGTTTGCTTGCTTGCTTGCTGGCTTGCTGGCTTGCTGGCTTGCTGGACTTGCTGGACTTGTGTGGGACACTCAATTGAAGTTTTGGAATCTGTCAGTGGTGCGACAGGTTTCCCGTTCTGACACGTTTCGTATTCACGTGAAAGGTAGGTACCAAGAGCGAGCTGAACTGTTGCCCGTTTGTCGAGATGCTTGCGGAAACAAATGAGACGACTGCATGTTGCTGGAACAACTACTTCTTGCCAGGTGTCTTGTTCTGTTCGTTGATCAAGGAGCACCACGTGCGATGCAGTGCTTGGCATGGTATTTTGCCAGTTTCCAGATTGAGGCTGCGCGCAGCTGAGGAACAATCGCGCAAACCAGATGAACCCCAACAACTGGCGGCATCTCGGTCAGAAATGGCCCCCAAAGCATCAGTTCAATCAGAACTACTGCGAATGGAGAAATCCAGCACCAGTTGGAAGGTGGTTTCTCCCACTATTCATGGAGTTTTCCAACCTGCTGGATTTTTCCATCCAGCACCCTTACCTTTCAAGGGCTGTGAGGCATGAAGGTGTCAATCTCGGCTGGCCGCAGGGTCGGCCCTACATGACACGGATCCCTGGAAGAGGGGGGAGGAAGAAATTCAGAGTTGAAAAGGAAGTTGAAACAAACGGCATAAGTTCAAACCTAGGAGCACTGTCTGTTATTGAGCCACGATTCGTATTATTTTCGTCATCGAGACAGACGGAGTTCCAGGCTTAGAAATAGAAAGACTGCCATCGACATGGCAACTCGCTAACCATTTGCCCACAAAATGGACCCCCAAAATGGGCGGTTTCCTTTTGGTATCCCTTCAGTCCAACCTGGGGGTCGCCCCAAAACAAACCCACACCATTCTGCCGCGAGGGAGCAACGGATCGCAAATTCCCTGTTCGGCTGGCGAACCACGGTCAAGAATGCAAATCCTCCACAAATCCCAGACGTGTGTGACAGCCTGGGAAGGGCACAGAGAAAACCTTCTGCGCGGTGGACCCGCTGAGATCCTGGTCCAACTTGGGGCAAATCTGCAAAACTAGCAACAACATGCCTCCACGCTGGTACTGCATCACGCCCAACTCCCTCTCAGGTACTGGTCCAGCCGCGGCGTGCAGCCTCCGTGGGAGAGATCCGGCGTGTCCGCGAGCGGCGGCGGCTTGGTCTATGGACGTCACGGTGGCGCTGTCGCCCCGCCCTGGCACCTCACCTACACCACTCCAGCACCCTACGGATCGTCGCTTGGCATCGGCTTGGCATGGGCTTGGCCTGGGCTTGGTCTGGGTTGGCATGCAAAAGGGAAGCGGAAGCACAAGGACCGAGCATCATCTACAGCATTCATGTGTCAGATATGTCTGCCGTGAAACGGTTGGACCGGACATAGCGTGATGTGACTTTGAGTTCCATCCACAGGAATGCTGGGCCTACCACCAGCTCCACCACTCTTCCGTGGGTGCGGGGCTTGCCTTTGGCCGTGGCGCGGCGCTTTGCCCGCTGGTCTCGGCTCGCGGCTCGGAAGTGGCTGCCGCGGGAGAAGACATGGATGGCCACGGACGACCAAGTTGCGGCTCGGCATAGGTGTGTTCAATTTGGTTGAAAATAGATGGCACTTATGTCAGATTGGTTTTCATCATCTACCAGTGCCATTTGTCTTTCCAAAAGGGCACCTAGGCTCAGCATTGTTTGTGCGGGCCAGCCCAGGCAGTCGATGTCGTTGAACAAAACACTTGACTTGCAATTGGCCAAGTACATCGGAGTCGGCTGTGTGTGTGTGTGGCATCCACTCCATGATTGTTGTTTCATTTGTTGGGAGGTGAAGATGAACAAGTTGCTAAACACTAGTTTCAGCTTGCGAGAGTCTAGCAGTAGGGTTTCTTGAGCGGTATCTTACTCAACAAGAGCACAAACAGCCTGCGGCGGTTGTGACGCTGATCAATGTGGTTGCCAACGCGCTTGTTTCATTGGAGTGACCCAGCATGAACTTGATGTGTCGCGAAGCCAGCTGCTTAGAAGTGGCCGGACATCGGTGTTCGCTAGAACTTCTAGGGCGGTTGTTGGGAGCGAAGAGGGACTTGAATGGCATGACTTGGCAAGGCCTCTTCGGAGAGAGCTCAAACCTATGAACAATGGCCCTGCGGCCCTCGCCATAGATGGGCACGGTCCGTTGGAACTCCAACCCCGGCTGGACTTTGTGCCTTGTGCGGTTTGGGTAGGACCTCAAATGTAGGACTCCCCCCCCCAAATCTGGATGTTCCTGAAAACACTCCAAAAAGCGTAACTGCAATTTCCAGCCCTGCAAGAAAGGTGTTTGCCCAACTCCCAACTAAAGATGCCTAAACGGGCCTGTCTTTTTTTGCTGGCACCCTTTTGGGGGTTGGTTTAAACGGAAACCAGAAGGAACATCATTTATTTTCTTTTTTGGGGGGGGTCCTCAAAGCAGACACACCAAAACGGGTGCCGACAGCGACATCTCTGCAGGGCTCGGTGGGCCCCTGCGGCGAACTGTGGCTCTGCGGAGCCGGCGGCGGCGGCGGCGGCTTCACGGACCAGCTGGTGAATTTGACCGCAGGGCGGCGGTACGAGCTGCAGGCCGCCAACGGCAAAACCGGGGAACCTTTCGCAAAAAGGAAGCCAATTTGAAAGGGGAAGCCAATTTAAAGGAAAGCCACATAAAGCCACATATACATATATATATATATATACTGTATGCATATGATACATATATATATATATATATATACATATATATATATATATAGTTGGACTCAGGTCGGTACAGGCGGCTTCCCGGGCGTGCCTCGGGGATCTGCCACCCGCCTACTGGAGCATACCGATGCAGGCCCACTTGGGTGCGCGTTTTTTGGAGTCCGGTTTTGGTTGGTTTTAACTGTTCGCCAAAAGGAGAAGCGCCATTTTTGTGGGTGCCCTATTTTGACACACACACACACACAAACACCCAATTGGTGAAAGTGAGGAGATTGCCGGGCACGCGCCCAATGGTTGGTTTGTACAAAGATCCATGTTTGAAGTTTCAGGGGGCTCGCCACACCACAACACCTGCATCACCCGCATCAACGTCACAAGCTGACAGTTGGGGGTTCCAGACCCCACGAGCCAGGGCCGAGGGTGCTGGCGGAGGCCTCGGGCGGCTTCGGCGGCACCGGCATGGACGAGGAGCGCCTGGTGACTTTGGGGGGCGCCGGCGGCGCCGGCGACCTGCCCGGCATGGCCTCGCGGCAGCGATGGCCGGGCCTCTTTTCGATATATATATATATATATGTATATATATATATATATATATTTGCATTTTTTTTTTTGGGGGGGGGGGAGGTTCACCTGTGGTTTTCACTTCGTGTTCACTTTTGGTTGAAAGTGCGGTTCCCGATCTTGTTGGCTGCACTTAACATGGGGCACCGTGGAATCCTAGAAGTCCTCAATCCTTTCCCAGAGGGGGCAAATGAGCCAGCAAAGTGCAGTGAATTGGAGGGAATTGCAGGGTATGATAATTGAAACCCTGCTCGAATTATTGCCGAACTCGGTCATCTGACGGCCGCTCTTTGGTTGGTGCAGCTTGTGCCTTCCTTTTTGTCATGGATGCCGCAGACCGAATCCCCGAGTTCCTGCCACTTTTTGCGGCCGCAATGGCACTGTGTCTTCTTGGGACGGGTTGGAGGGAATGGTATGTTTGCCTGGGTCTTTTGAGGGGGCTGCAAAAATGGCGCTCCTTAAGCGGGTGCCCATACCAACCGACGAAACCCTTTGGCCATCCGAGCCAGCGCACGCTGGTGAAGTACCCATTGCAAAAAAAAGGGGTCGACGGCATGGACACATCAAAGCCCGGACACCTGCGGCGGCCTTGCCATAAAGCACGGTGCGGAAAGCGTTCCTCCCGTTGAATTCTTTACAACGCATGCTGTTAAAGACTTCTTTGGTACTAGGTTTGAACTATGACTCAACTGATTGGAAGATCCTTCTGGGCCGCTGGACTACCATTGCGTTGTCAGTGGATTGGTTTCGGTGGGGTTGGCAGTGCAGCATCAAGTTCAAGAGCCCGATGCAGATGTTTGTGTTTCAACGTGTGAACGGACGTTGGCTCGGGAAAAGCCATCTTCGTGTGGGAGAATCAATTTCTTCGTCGCAAGTGCCCCGAAGCCAGCCACTTCACGGCTCTCGTATTGTGTTGCTTGCTTGTGGCCGCTTTGGTCCGCGTTCGTCACCTACTCCAACCTAGCCAACAAAGAGTCAAATTATTTGCTAGCTTAAGAGGAGCCCATCTGTCTCCAAAGGCAAACAGCTTGAGGATCAAATCCAGAGGGCAACTAGTTCCTAAGCCAGGCCAAAATCAATCTATCCCAGGCCTAAACCAATCCACGCAAACGCGCCAAAGCTGCAACCTAAAAAAGCCTTACACGCACATGAAACCAGCCCCCAAATCAATCTTGAAACTAACCCCGAACCAAAAAGCAAAAGTGACTGCCTAGCACTCCAACCCTCGCCTAAGCCCCAAACACAATGCAGCTTGTGGGCACAAGAGAGTGAAAACTGCGGTCGCCAGAGAGTGCCCGATGTGCTTTGCCGTTCGATGTCATGCCCCACGCACGCTGAAACGCCAAACGCGACAGACGGCAGAGAGCTGAGAGCTGCTTCGTGGTACAGTGGCAGCTGAGGACGGAGAGGCCTCACGGTCGGACTTCCAGGATTTGCAGTGACGCGGCATGAAATACTCGGAAGTGCGGTTCGCCTTCGATTGCTTATGTGGGTGCATCAATCGTACATTCAGGCATGCGCTTGCTGGGAAAAGGTGGCTAGGTAGCAGCAATTCCTTGCCAGGCAAATCCTGAAGGCAATGTCCCCTTCAAGGCCAGCTGAACCCTTTATTCGTGGCGTTTTCTGATCGGCCTCAACGGAAGCTCTCATGTGTCCTGTTTGGCAAGCTTGGCTCTGCAGGTCATTCTGCCAATCAAATGGCAGATGATGCGCACAAGTATGACCGAATGTTCAATAGGTCAAACGAAGCAGGCAGTGATATGGCCATTTTTGTCATAGCTATCCAACCCCCCCTGTTCGGCCTATTGACAAGGACGCAGCGCTTGGTTCTCACCGGCGCAGATCTGCAGAAGGCAAGACAACTGAGCCCGGAGGAGACCTTGGCTTGTGCGGCTTCCGGTTTTTTTCTTGCCACCCCTCATTGTTTGTCCATGGCTTGCATCTATGATTTCTTGGAATCCGCAATTATTATTATTTTTTGAGGTTCCTGCTCCCTTGGGTTTTGCTCCATTTCGAGTGGTCCCCTTTTCGTATGGTAAGCCCAACTTGTAGCCCTAGCCGAGTTTCGTTGGTCCATTTTGCGTCGTGCAGAGCCATCCGTTGCGAATGTTCCAGACGGATTGCGCAACCCACGTTGGTTGCAGTCTGAGCCGGGTGGCATATTGTATATATTCAAAGGTTTGTTCGCAAAGGGAATGCCAATCTTCGATCCCTTGTTGTCACCCCTTTTTCAACACAAGGAAAGTCAAAGGCACCGGGTTCCAATTTGTACCCAAGTGACCTGTGCAGTGGCGTGCAGTGGGCAGGACCTTGAGCGCTCCTTCGCCGCGGTGCGCATTCCATGTGCCGGCGCAATACGCTCCGGCGCTGTAGAGCGCGAGGACGGAGTTTCGCACGCCTTTCCCGACCCACCAGCAGTTTTGCCAGCGCAAAAGCACATTTTTAGATCCGTAGCATTGGAGCAATTGTAGCATGAGGAGTAGCAGCTGCAGAAGCAACAGCAACAGCAACAGTAACAGCAACAGCAGCAAGAGCAGTAGACCAACTAAGAAGCTTATGAAACTGCCAGGCTAAAGTGTTTGGGAATCCACTTGCAGAAAAGGACTTGAGGCTTCCTGTGTGTTCAGAAGCAGCGTTTCTCTTGGCAGAGTCAGAAGTTGCTTATGCTGCGTTTGCCAACATCAGAAACGGAGCAGAATTGAGGCAGTCATGTGTCTTGCTTTTGCCCTGGTGCGGTGTTTCGGATTTCGCCTTGAAGAAGGCAATGGCTCGTTGTGGATGCTGCGTGCTTTCGTACATCACCCTCCAGCAACAATGCCGGCGATCATTTCAAAGAAAGCGGAGTGTCAAGCGTTGCTTCTGATCTAGAGGAAACTCACAACACATTCTGAGGCTGTTGCTTTCAGGGCTTATCATAACATTCTCGGACGCCACTGAATGAACGTGTTGGCCATGGGAACATCATCTTTGATTTATTTTTCGCTGTATGGTGTCTTCCCAATTCCAAGCAGCATCAGGGTTGTCTAGAAGGGCTGCCGCACATGCAGAGCTGGCTTCAATGCTCACTGGACATCGTTCTGTTGGAAGCAATCCTGCCGTACGAGCAATGCCTCACATAGGGGGCATGTTTCGAGATTCTTGAAAGAGAGCGGCAAATGTTGGGTTAGAGATGACTTCTCCATCAATGTGTTGGCTCACGATGGCAAGTCACAACCAATTAATTCTGACAATAGAGGGAGCGTCATCAGTGCTAAACCCATGATGCTTTCTGCCAAAGGCTTGCCACGTTCAGATGCTGATCGGCGTAAAAGCATGGGCCTCCAGTGCTATAGTGTCCCCCGCCTCATCGCATTCACCTGCCAGGCCGGACTCATCGACTTTGTAAATCCCGGCGGCTTTGTAAATCCCGGCTACCACAGCTTCACTTCAGGATTGACACCGAAGAAGCTCCTTTTGCATTCCTCTGGCTTTTTGGTTTGGCTTGCCGCCGATTTGTGTTGGAACGAGGTTCGTCAGCGCCACTCCAAGCCCTGAAGCGACGCAGCGCCAACTTCCGACCAACCCTAAGCCAGTTCATGCCCTTGCCAGCTCGTGGGAGCCACGAGCGTAGGCTGTGACACAAGCAACTAGCTTGGACAATGCAGTCCCGCGCTCACAGCCTGCACGACCCCCGCGCTCAGCCCCTGCCCAGCCCAAACACCAGGATGTTCTGCCTTGTGATCGGCTTTGTCTCGAATTCCAGGGAGGCAAGGTCAGTTATTCAACCTCATTGGCGATTTACGCGAGGCGCACCTCAGAAACTGACAGTGGGCTGCTTCATCCCAGTTTGTGTAGTTTTCATAGTAAGACGCACATATGGAATAATTTGCAGGCAACACACTGAGTGGCCTAGCCACTGTGTACTCGGCAAAGGCCGCATGCATTCCTCGTATCGGAGGGCCTTCGTCGACACAGAGCTCCTTGTTGCACTGCAATCGCTCCGTGGGGTGGGCATGGGTTTGAATTGATTCACTTTGACCTAAGTGCTGCAACAACCAAGGAGCACCTCTGAACATCATGCTGTGAGTGACCATATGCTTGTTTGTTTGCCGGAGCCTGCAAAAAGCGGCAATGCCGGAGCGTATGGAATTGACGCAAAGAACTGGAATGCTGGAGACCAAGTACTTTTGAACCCGGATGCTTGGCTACTGTATCCTCAATGAGTGTAGTTTGGGACAAGTTTGGATTCTTTTCAACGGGGGGAAGGTAGCTCAAAGGACGGCTTCTTGCGCCTAATTTACAGTACTTTTGGTTGCTCGGTGATTGCCGCAGCTAAGGACTGCGCGAAGATCAAGAGACAATTTCCAGATGGCCTGCCAAAGCTGATATTCTCTATGAGCAGTTTTGAGAACCACATAGTATATGGGAGCATACGTTTTGTGGATCCAATATCACAATATGACGAGAACGGCCGCCGAGACCAGAATGCGGTGAACAAGCAAAGTCGGTACAGAAGTTATTTGCAGGGGGCTATGCCGAGAGAGTTTCATTTGACAAATGATATAGACTGCTTCAAGCAGATTTGGACACCTTTCAACGGCTCCTCGTGCATCGGGGTTGCTTGCCTGAGATCGCGGCCCGATGCAGCTTGCAGGGCGTTGCCTTCCTGCCTCACGGGGTTGAGGGCGCTACTGAGCCCGATTGACTTCTTCAGCTTGTCAAGAGGGGGAGGGACGCCTGGACCCCTTTTGGCAACACGGCTGCGTTTTGCGTGCTGGCTCTTGAAACAGAAGTTGCAAGGGAACGCAAGGGGCTTCTGACGGGCATTTCAACACCCAAACCAGCAAGAGAGGCTGTTGCCAATTGCCAGCTGTGATCCTTTTTGTGTTGTGCTAATGCAATTCACCCCACCCCACCCCACCCCGCCCCGCCCCGCCCCGCCCCTCCCCGCCCCGCCCACCCCCGCCCCGCCCCGCCCCACCCCACCCCACCCCACCCCCGCCCCGAGGTTGGATTACCGGCGCCTCAATCGTGGCCCCAATAAAGAATACCTCGTGGTTGTCCCTGAACCTATTCCGGTGAAGTCAAGTGTATAGGCCACGCAAGAGATAGAATGTTGTATGTGCTGCAAGCACTCTTGTTTGACCGCAAGGTAGTGTCAAGTCATACACACCAGGCCTGTACAAATGGTTGTGAACCAAATGGCAGCGGAATGTCTGCAGATTGTACATGTTGCCTATGAGTGGAGTCTTGATTCAACAAGAAGCAAAACAAGAAACAAAACAGACACAAATTTCTTTCCACTCATGGCACAGCGTATTGGTATGAAACTAGCCTTGGTTCGACAGGCCTGAAAGTTACTGTACCGTAGTCATATTGAACGAAGTTTTCCGGCGATCTCTATTCTAGGCTGAATCAGTGCTATGTACACGGTCGGCGATTGAAACAGAAAGAGACACTGTGGGACCTAAGATGGTGAGAAATTCCGGGGGCCAGCAGGCCAATGTCTGGAGCGCACATTGGAAATGTCAGGAGCCAATGTCAGGCCAATCATTCGGAAAATGAATGTCCATTGGATCTCTGAGCAATTCCACGATGAAAAGCATATCGCGTATGGGCCGGATCGCATCTGCGTTGGAGAATGCGGTCATATGTGACCCAATACTAGCCTTTGTGAGCGGTTCTTCTGATATCGAGAAGTTGGGTAAATATTCGGAGGCCAGCTGGTGCAGCTGATGTTGACGAGCAGTGGATGGTGCCAATCTGCGTCATTCTCTCCCAACATAAGCATCTTGTTGGTCATCAGCTTGTATCTCTCAGCGGATGTGACAGTATGGTCGTGATGCTCACTGTCCTGTGGATCCTTTAAGTATGCCTTTTTCGCTTGTCTCCTCTCCTTGGTCTTGGACCAATGGAACACGTGAGTGACAATGCAGTCCAATATGCCATAGAATGAATCTGTCTCAATCTTCTTCCCGGTCTTGTAGTTGAGGGATGCAATGGTTTCGGCGGTGGTCGCAAGCACATTGGTCGGATCTGTCTGCAGGATGTTCACGGCGTTTCTTAAATCTTCCGTTGCTGCAGAAAGAACCGAGAACATAGGATTCAAGACCAACTGCTTCTTGTGGCGCTGGTTCGCCGCGGAATTTGCATCGCCGGTGATGATGTCGGTGAGGAACAGGGCTGATGTGAAGGATTTGGTGGCGCTCGTCTCGTAGTGATACACACCCGCAGTATGGAAAGGCAATCCGGCTCTGTGCGCAATGGATCTCGGAAAATCTGCATACTTGTCCTCAGGAACGGTAGGCAGTTCCTCGCATCTTCTGCTTCGTTGTAAACCTCAATGTTTCTGCATCTGGGAATATCATCCGTACGAGGATGCTTCCAGTTCTTCATGTTCTGGGCAACAGTTTCCCAGCACTCGTCCTGCACATAGAAACTTTCGATTCTATCCGTGATGACAGTCGAGTTGCTTGGTGACCTCGTAGTCGTGCAGGCGCTTCATGGATGTCTCAGTCTCTCGGTCATTGGCTCTTTTCTGATCTACCTTCCACGGTGCATCATAGGATCTGTCGTCGGATCTTGGTCCCTTCTCGCAACTCCAGCTTTTCCAGCTCTGCCTGCCAGTTCTTGCTACACTCATACGATGGGTTTTGATGGTACCACTTGTCACACCCTTCTCTATAGGAAGTGGCGTCAGAGTCTTCTTGAGATGGTGCATCTCTTTTCCGGTTCTCTCTGCGCGCCAGGCGGACATTGTAGTACAATGGAATGTTGTAGATTCTGTTCCAAATCCTTCTATATCTCCCGGTTGTTCTGGGTTGCATTGGCCACATGGAGAAGTGATTGTTCATCCATCAGAACTCTCTGGATTTGTATGGATAAGCATGTCACTGATGGGCTACTCAGGTTCTTTCCGTGGTGTGCAAATAGCCCGGTTTCGGCCGGTCGTGATATGAAGATGGTGATGTTGGAACACTCTGGCCGAAGCTGATTCAGAGGAAAGTCACGAAGCTTGTTGGTCCTGACAAAATCGGGCGAAATCAACAAAGTGGTTCTGGGTCCTTTCCTGCTTGTGTCTCTTGATTCCAGGATGGACCAGAATCTTGGCGGCAATGTCGTCACTATCAACAATGAGGCCATTCTCAGTTGGTCGAAGGCCTTCAGGATGCACATCAGGAACTTCTGGTTTTCGGTCCTTTGCTTCCTCACCTTCTCTTGGGTTGGTGAAGGTCTCGTTGCTTCGGATCTCTTCTGGCTAGGATCTGGCTATGGCCAAGTGTCAGGTCTAGTCCGGTTCCTTCCTAGGCTAGATACGCTGGTTGAGAAGACGATCCATGCCTGGCAGACTGTCCTTGCGCTGGCTTGAGATAGATCTTGGCGATAGGCGCATCTGGCAGATGATCATGATTCAGTGGTCCGCCGAATACCATCGAGTAAATTTGGTGCCTGGTCAAAATGGCCATAGCAATGCGGACCTTGGCTGTATCAAAGTAGCATAGGTGCTCTGATGCCAATAAGGGATCGAAGTTTGTGATTGTGTCGAAGGATCTCCTTGAGTGTCACTGATCCATCTTGTGCACGGCGCAGTTGGATGTGTCTTCCATCTCCTTCTGTAGGATCATGTCGTAGAATCGCCGTAAAGGTTCCTGAAGGAACAAGAGCACTTGGCATTTTGGTCATAGTTTTCCAGGATCCTTGACATACAGCTTTGCGAGCTCGGAAGCATAGTGCTTGGTCTTCTGCAGATCGATGTTGCCGTAAAAGTCATGGACTGTTGGCACGAGCTTGTAATTCCAGGATTCAGGTTCTTCAATCATCTGGATCATCAATTCTCGGAAATCTCGTTTGAAAACATCATAATCTTTAAGAGGATCGCCTCGTCTCGAGATGCTGATTCCAATCGCGAGAGTCTCTTTCCCTTGATGGAACATATTGGAATCCTGGCCGATCTTCCAAGATGAAATCGGTCTCGACGTAGTACACGGTCAATTTCTGAAGGAGTTTTCGATCCACCTTGGCGAAGGGATTCTTTGGACCAATGTAGTCCAAATAGCCATCCACTTCCTCATGCTCATCAAACTTGCGCAGGCCTGCCTCTGTTGATTCTACATGATCTCCGTCATTCGGCAAGCTGATCTTCTTCTCCGGGATCGGTTCATCTTCAGAATCGGAGGATGAGGTTGATGATGGCGAATCATTTCCTTGGATCTCTTTCGGTGAACCTCCAGCAGGTTCGATTGGATCGTCCGATTGGATCGTCCTTCGAGGAGGACTCCATTTCCACATCACTGTGTGATTGGCCTTGCCCTCAGCATTATGGTGCTTTGCCATACCTCTGCAAGTCTCCGCCTCAGCGGAAAAGACGCGAATTTTTGTGGGCCAAGCGCTTGAAAATCAAATGGCTGCGGACGCAGTGACGCAGACACAAATTTCTTGAATCACAAGTTGGTTTCTGAACATTGGTCAAATCCAAACATGAAAAAGAATCTCAACCCGTCTTGTCCAGCAATGGTTCTTCACATAAGCTGTCTGGAATGGTATGCTCTTCTGCCAGGAATGTGAGAACAGTGGGCCCAAGGGTTGTGTTATATGATCACCATTCAACCAGGAAGGCCTTGTTCTGCAGCATGGTCCTGAAAGGTGGATGTGCGTCAACGTTTGGCAAACCCCAGTCATAGCGGATTTGATTAACCCATCTGCCTTCGCTGAGCTCTTTGTGAGGCAGTCGGCGAGGCATCTGTTCGGTGTTGCTTTCCTTCCAAAAGCATCTGGGTTAAATGCATAGTTTTCTTCTGTTCGGGTTGATGAGTTGTTGAAGCGGTTGTGACAAGGTTGTTTGCATCTGTGCGAGTATGGACATCTGCAAGTTCGCCAGAAATATTTGACCAAAGTCCACGAATAAATAAGCATGTACCAAAGCAACGCATCAAACCATGAAGTTCAGCAACAGTGGTTGACATAGTTGTAGCTGTAATTTTATGGGTCTCGTAATCAACAACGGCTTTTCTGGAATTAGGAACACCCTTACGAAGGTCACGTTCTTCGGCAAGGAAAACTACATGAGCACGCTGCGATGAGTTGTCACCATTATTGCTGGAAGATGCATCTGGATATCCAATCAAACGTGTGTTCCCTCAAGAGGCCAGAATCGCATACTGAGCGGTGTACTCTTGATGGTTCTGACGGTCTTGTTGATGGCACGCACATCGCCGATGGTCGGTGATGACGCCTTAGATGCACAGCAAGAAAACTGGTAGGCAATATGAAGTTGGGTTTTCGACTGTAGCCAATTTATCTGGCCGAATACACTTCTGTACGCAGTATGCATTGATGGATTAAGTGGAACTTCATCCTTGAGACGCTTCTCAAATGTAATTTCTTCCAATTCACCTATTGCAACATTCGGTTGAACATTGATGTAAGGTCCATGCTTCTCATCTATTCTTGTCTTCTGAACCAACTTGGAAATCCTTCCGAATCTTGGCCATGATCTCTCTTTCGAAGATCTCTCCTCCTACCATGAGAAGGTCATCCACGTGCGCAGACAGGACGTGTCAGCTGCCTGATACCGTGCCCATGAGATAATCAATGGCGATCTTCTTGCCATAGTACACGTAGGTGCAACGGTCAGCTCGTGTTGGCACGAGGCCATAGGACCTTAGTGCTGAATCAAAAAAGTTCCACCATCTACTGAGTGCATCGTTCAAACCATAAGCTGGTTTCTTCAAGCGGGCGCCAATGTAAGGTG